AAATTTATAGACCACACGCGTGCGTAGCCCCTCAGGGACAGCATCTTTCACATTAAAAAGATTCCTGACTTTGAAAGTAGTAAAGACTAACCTTAAATCAATAGGTTTACATAACCGGTTAGCAAGTTTGCGTATACTCCTCTGTGCCGTGACTGAGAAGTGCCCAACGTAAGGGATTTTGAAGAAGAACTTAGGCGTTTCCTGGGGCTCGACTCCTGAATAGGGCTGTGTTTTCCCTCCCTTGACTGCTGTCTGAATATATTTAGAAATATATTTGTTGATAAGGTTTTCAGGGAAGAGATTCCTCCGCAGAATGACAGACAATTTTTGAAGGTCAGTATGGAACCCCATCCAAGTGTTGTTTATCTTAAAAGTTCTATGAATCAAGGTTTTGATTAACCCCAATTTGTAGGTAAAGGGGCAAAAACTCAGATAACTAGTGAGCAGACCTGTGAAAGTCTTTTTCCGGTAAACGGTGGTTGCACTTTGGTGTGGGTCAGTGTTGTTGATTAGAACATCTAGGAAAGGTAGAACATGGTCAGTTTCCCGCTCCATTGTAAAGCGTATATTGGGGTGTTGATTGTTGATGTAATTGAAGAAAAGGGTTGCATCCCGTTCAGAGTGGAAAAGGCAAAATGTATCGTCTACGTAGCGACGATAGAATAATACCTCTGAATCCCCGTATTGATCCAACCATATATTCTCATGGTGACCCATAAAGAGATTGGCGAGAACAGGGGCAAGGGGGGACCCCATGGCTACACCATCCACCTGATCATAGAAGTTACCTTTGAACAGGAAGTGAGTTTCCTTGGTAGCAAACTCAAACAGCCTTTTGAGCTCATTTTTACTAAGTTTCAACCCTGGATTACCCTCAGTAATATATTTGACGGCAAGGTCGATACAATCATCTAGAGGGATGTTGGTGAAGAGGCTTTCAACATCGAAGGAGACCATAAACATCCCGTGCAAAGATAGATCATTGATTTCCTTCACAAAAGTGAAGGAATCTGAAGCAATGAATGTGGACGGAATATGAGGTTGGAGGAGATTACTTAAGTATTTAGCCAAGCTGTAGTTGTAGGTGCCTATGGAGGAAACTATGGGCCGAAATGGAGGGGTGGAATTTGGCGCTCGTGGTTTGTGCATCTTAGGGAGACCATATATCCTGGCAGGCTGAGATCCACTTGGATAAATGGTCTCATAGACGTCAGGATCAAAGTGACCTTTTTTCTTAAGTTCCCTGAGATATCGCTGTAGTTTCCCTTCCCGGGTAAGAGTAGGGTCGGATGTAAGGACCCTGAATTTAGTAGTGTCGTTAATGATTTTAAATAAACCCTTGTCATATTCTACTCTATCTAGCTGTTTGAGTTTGCTACAAAGGAAACTCACTTCCTGTTCAAAGGTAACCTCTATGATCAGGTGGATGGTGTAGCCATGGGGTCCCCCCTTGCCCCTTTAATCAGTGCGAAAATAAACTCAGTATAGTCATTCATAATCGGCACAAAATGTGAAGAAAAATGGTGGCTTTCGATAACAAATTTATCACCAAGAAGAGCTTAAAACTTCACTAAAACCTGTCGTGATTCAAATTGTAGACAATTTCCCCTAAAAAAACGGCAATTTATTCTAGTGGATACTTACAGTTCATGAAGACACCTTCAAGCCGCCATCTTGAAAGGCTATTTGGGACTGAGTACGCGTCTGAAAACATCATCCTTAGATTTTTCATTTAGTTGACTTGTTTGTCAATAATAATACAATTTCTTTTTTTTATTTTCATGTCTTTCATGTGATTCTCATCAAAATAATGGCAAACAAGGAATTGATATTTTTAGCACAGGGCACCCACCATGGTATATCATAATTGCTATATCATTAACTTGAATTGTTATAGTCATTGGTTTCAATAATAATAGTATCAATACAGTTTCTTTTTCCATCTACTTGCCTTTTTATGTGAATTTCATCAAAAAATGGCAAAAAACAAGGGATTGCAATTTTCAGCACAGGGCACCCATCATGGAAGGTTGTTGAAGAACTTCAGCGAGCAGCTGTTGCAAATCCTGAAGAGGTAGCTGCGGGCACCGATTCCAATATTGACTAACCTGCCCTAAGCTACAACCATGCAAAGTTTGGTGCTTTTGTCCGCTCTCGCTCTCTCTCTCGCCAAAATTTTGCACTAAGCCACCGGACTATCAGGCTTACCAGTCGAGATGCTGCTTCTGAAGGTCATCAAGTTTTCCAGAATCGCTTGAGACTTTTCAACCCTCTTACGCCTCAAGCAAGGGCAAGTAAGTAAGCTCATTTTTGAAAACGATGCCATCCGAAAACGGATTTCCAATGACTTTGACAAGCGGTGCATTTGTCAACAAAAAGCGCAATAAACAAACCAGCCATGAATTACAGAACACTTGATAGCAGCTGTATTTTATTTTGTACAGCAAGTGGAAAAAGAGTTTAAAACATCACAAGATGACACAAAACTCTGTCAGCTTCAGCTATCAGTAAGCAAGTTTCCAGACGCTGCATAAATTTTCTGCATGAACTCACCTGTCAAATTTTGACCAATCAGAACATAAAAATTGGACGTAGAGCGTGATCAACGCGTAACAGTGAGAAAAGTAAAAAACGATGGCCTTCCCTGCGTGTAAAAGCCGGTTGAATTTTCGCGTCCGAGGTCAGTTCGAAATCAAAATTTTAAAAGCGCGGCTCATGAACACAACTTATTTCATATGCATTTTAAAAAAAATGAACTTGAGCCTGCGATCATTTGAAAAGTAGCAACTTGTCAGCGGATTACTTCAAAAAACAATCGAACTCAGTGGGTCGATACGGTCAGGCGATACTGGTCAGCAGAAACACTATTTTGACAGCTATCAATTAATCAAAACATGGATGTTCAATGTCAGGTTGCAGGCTCCCAATGTGAGATTAAACATTGGTATGCCTGTGGTGCGGACGGACGGAAGGTCGGATGGTCGATGTACGGTCACGTGATTGCCGAATTTTCTAGGATGGATAGATTTCCTAAACTATGGGTGACCTCAAGGGATAGAAAAATGAGCCCGCGATACAGTCAGGTGATGATGGTCAGCGTATAATCTAGTTTGAAAGCTGTCAATTAACCTTCATTAGAATGGCGAATATTCGAATTAACAGACTACGAGTGTGAGTAAGACATATCCGTCCGGCTTGTAGTGGAAAATGCCAGATCGTGTACCTGAGCGAACCTGAGCCCACGTTATTAGTTTTCTGATAGTGGTCTGCACATATACAATTTTGACAGCTGTCAATTGACCTTAATTTGGCTTGCCAATATGACTTTAAACGACTGTCAGCCGACAGCTCTGCCCGGGGTAATTTCGTTTTTATGTTGAATTGGTAAGTGTGACATATTATATCAGCTTATATGTAGGGGCAAAACGACTGGTCTTTGATCTGAGCCCGCAAGATAGTCATGTAATAATTGTCAGCGGATGTCTGATTTTGACAGCTGTCAATCTAATCGTACTCATACGGATGGCTTACAAAACTGAAAGGCTAGTCAAGTTGTGCATGATGTATCGTGACATTTGATATCGGCTTACATGAAGTTTGTGTACGGGTGGGTGTAACGGGTGGGTTTAACGGGTGGGTGGGCGGGTGGGCGGGTGGGCGGGCGGGCGGGCGTACGCCACGTCATAACCAAATTTTCTCGGATGGATAGTTTACCAAATTTTGTTACCCATGGTGCTCCGCTGCGCGCGCTTCGCTAGCGGGAGCTCCGCTATAAACTGGATGTTACGTTTAATGCACTGTTCTAGTATTACATGTTAACAAAGTCGCCGACAAGATAGATTGTCGTGATATCTTCTTCAATCATAACCCTACAGGAGCATTTTGTGTATGGGTTAAGACACTATAATGACTAATAAACCAAATCGAACTAAAGCAGCAATAATTATTGTCCTTTAAATGGTACTTCTTTAATGGCTTAGGTCACACTTGAGAGTTTAGTGTAATAAAAAGCCTTAACTATGGTTAAAAATAAGGTAGACAAATTTACTATGGTAAATCGGACTTGTTTACTTAAACATTTCTGCAGAGCTTTCGTAATTCGAGTGTGTCAATCAAACGTTACGACAGATGAGAATAAATACAGGCATTCCTTTTTTGTGTGCCTGATTGCCGATTGCAAGTGGTTTTAAAATATTTCTACATAACTTCATGGAATCTGAGCGGCTGATTGCGACGATTGTTGCTCTTTTCCTTTTGATTATGGCTATTCGGAGAGTCCAGCAGTTTTGATTTTTCACTTTACTTTTTTTGAAAAGAAGACAGCACGAAGGTGCGATTGCTTTCCTTACAAGGAGATGGATTGGAAAAAAAATAACTGTTGCGCTTAGCTCCACGTGTGGATAATTTGCAGACGGTGAAGCTTTCTCTGGAACGAAAATTCACGGTCCACCTAGAGACTTCGAGTGATAGCTAGTGGAGGTCTGAAATGTAATGAAAAGAAAGAAAAAGAAAAGAAGCTTCTAAATGCGCCGTCAACATGTACAAGTCACTTGACAACGTCAGAAAACAACTCAGAGTAAAAAAATCAGAGGTACTTATATGACTGTGTGTTTACCATAATAAATTATGGTATCAATTAAAGAAGGCGGATTAAAAGTTACTTTGAGGTAAATGAATAGTTGTCTGACATGTCTCTTTTATGGTAATAGGTCACCGCCCAGAATGCTATTGTCTTTTGCGACATGTACTTACAGTGCGCAGTTTCTCAATGTGCGTCATAATAACTGAATAATTCAGAGTAAAGTTCATAATGTACAAGGTAGAAGCTTACATCATTTTTGTTCAATTTGTTTTGAACAGATCTCCAAGGAATGTTTTCCACATCAGTTATGATCACAGACAACACCCTGTACCTTATTATGTGTTATTTATGAACATTTACTTTTTTCACACAATGTTTCAAGGGTGTTCTTGTCTCTCTGTATCTCTTTTCAGTTAAACCAGAGGAAGTGCAGTTAACAACGAATGTCACTTCTAAAAAAGCATGTCTGAATGATGTAGTGTTCTTCAACTGCTCAGCTGCTAATGCAAATCCACCAGTGGCATTATATCAGTTTTTTGAGAATGATGTTCTGTTCGGTAGTAGCAGCTCAGGAGAGTTCAGCGAAATGGCAATGAACAGTGGTAATTTAAGATACAAATGTGTGGCAAACAATACTGCAGGAACAACAAGCAACCAGGATGTTTCCATTACTGTTAATGGTAAGGCCAATAATGATTGTATAAAAAAAATAGGATGCGTTCTGTTTTTTTTTTCCTGTTTGCTTGTTTTTGTCAGTTCCCCTCTTCTTGTAAAGTGTATCACTTTCTTCCAGGGGTCAATTTAATAAAACTTTTACAAGTGTAATTTACAAGTGTAGCCATTGTTTTGGAGTCTGAAAACAATAGCCACACTTGTAAATTACAATTGAGGTTATTTTTGGAATTTAACAGTATTGACGTCCCAGGCGTTCAGTTCAGGGTTATCAAAATGTAATGTTATGCAGTACTTGAAGAACCCCCGCTCCTGAGTTCTTTCACAGCCTTATCATATAACTTTTAATCACAGATCTGAAATATAATGGACACAGCTTTTGTACATGTATGATGATTACTCATGCACTCCGTTTCTTACACTGATAATTATATTAAAAAAAGAGAGAGAGAGAGGGAGAGAATAAAACCATTATATATTAAATCTCCCTTAAAATTGCAGTGCCTGCATCCATTCAGTCAATCAAAGATCAGTTTGTTGTTGAACATCGCAATAAAAGTCTCATTTGTAATGCATCTGGGACCCCTCAGCCAACTGTGTTTTGGATCAATGTCGCCAGTGGTCAGCGCACAAACAGCAGTGTCCTGGAGTTTACCAACATTAACAGAAATGAAGCTGGAAAATACAGATGTGAAGCTAGCAATGATTGTGGAAGTGCAGTAGAGGCAATTAACGTTACTGTACGGTGTGAGTAGATTAAGCATTAAGACATTGCATTGGTTCATATCTAGTGATGGATCAAGCAGAACCTTTTTATACTCTGAAAAATAATTATAACAACAATAATGATGCTATGACACTGTAGGATAATCCCAACATTTACAATAATAAAGTGGAAGGCAATATGGATACATGATAATTATTACAGCAGAAACAACATTAATTTCGTGCGTTGTAAGTCATAGAAATACTGCACAACCAGAGGACAAAAATTATTGGGTTCTTTACCTAAGGCTATAAACCGGATGTTATATTTAATGCACTGTTGTGTATGATTTAAGGTACTACAATGACTAATAAACTAAATCGAACTAAAGCAGCAATAATTATTGTCCTTTAAATGATACTTCTTTTATGCGTGTTTTTACTCCATTCTAGATCCACCAGAAAATGTCCTATTAAGAACAAATGCCACTGCAAATAAATCTTGTCGGAATGATGCAGTAAGCTTCACATGCTCAGCCGATGGTGTTCCATCCGCGATGTCATTCCAGTTGTTTAAAGATAACGTTCCCATGGAGATAAGTGCCTCAGGGGTGTGGGTGAAAACACTGTCCGAAGGAGGCATTTTTGCCCACACATGTGTAGCTAACAATTCCATTGGATCAGCAAGCAGCACATATGTTAACATTACTGTACATGGTAAGTGAGGCCACAAAAATACGTTGGTACTCATGTTAACACTTAAGACTGATTTGACTGATTCCAGTTACGCACGATCTGATCTCTATGTTCACTGTATATATTCTGCTACATCAGCGTCTAATGAAGAACATCAGTGACATCATGGGCGTACACATATATGTCATAACTGAGAAACTGTGTGCAATAAATTTTCTTAATTAAATAGATGCGTGTAGACTTGTTCCTGGAAGATTCCCAGATTCCCCTCGTGGTTTCGACTTTTTTAAGCAACTAAACTGTACTAAGAGTGCTGGCATTTTGTGTGATACTGGAGGAGGTGCAAATAGCTGCGAGATGAGACGAGTACTTGTTTTCTATTTTCGAATGGTTTATCTCAGAAACTCATATGAGTTTCTGTTTATACAGAAACTCATAAGGAGTTGAAACGTGTAACTCTCTTATGTTTGCTTTGTCCGATGCTCGTGATTAATCATTTTCGAAAGTACCATATTTGGAACGAGAAGAAGAGATAACTGACCAATCAAACTTCGTAAACAACGTGACGTAATTTTCGTTCAGGTTCCCGCGCCCGCTTTAAAAAATGGCCGACAAATGGGGGAAAAACTCCCGAAAGCCGAGAAAGCTTTCAAAGGTTGAAATCGGGAATATTACCGAAACACTGAGCAGGATATTATTGCCTTACCCCCCTGGCCAAACGTAACATTATGAAACCCATTGACGGCCTCGCAACTTCTTGAAGGTGTCACTTCAAAAAACGATGCCTCGTTAACCCTCTGCACAGTAGCTTATACTGAAAATAGGCTTTTAAAATTTTCATGTTAAAAGTCTAGAATAAACAGTGAAAAATATTTTCGAATAAAATTCATTAGCTACGTATCGAAAGTGTCCAAAACCTGAACCTGACATCTTCGCAAAACGTGATGCTTGTAATGAATGTGAGAAGCATCTTAAATTAAGCTTAGATGTTGTAGTGACGATCGTGTTTTGAGCTAATTTTATGACTGAACAAACTCAAAACAATAGACAGAGAAGCCGTTTCTTGAAAATTTTTATTCAAAGTCCAAAAAGTTAATCCTTTAAAGCAATTCGGAAAACACTATCTGGATCGTGGATCCGTTCACGCAAGTGACGTCGGCTAAGCACATAGCAAAATTCAACGCAAAATCCACCTCAAATCAGGGCACATTTTGTAATTTTTCTTTAGCGCCGAAGAGAAAAATTTATAAAACGTCTATGAAACATTTAAAAATACATAAATTCCCTTTCAAAAACGTAATTGTCTTGGCCATAGAGTGCAAAATGTACCTGAAAATTCAGCAAAAACTTCGCTGACTTGGTTGCATTTCAAAACAGACCATGGGCTCCGCCGTGAAGAAAACAAGGTTGAATTCCCCGAAGGACGATTTCTTGATGAAAAGCTTCCCTTTCATCACAAAAAGAAAGCTGAGCATTCTTTGAACTTTCTCTTTCAATTTTTGTCTTTTAACACTGTATTTTTAACCTTAAAATGCAGAACTCTTGTCTTAAAACATCTGCATGGTGATCGCGCAGCAGCCATTTTGTTGAAAATGGATATCCGTCACTAAGATTTCCAAATATGGTCAAAATGAATATTCACAAGCATTGAACGCGAGTTACACGTTTCAACCCCTTATGGGTTTCTGGTTTATATTAATTCTTTCCTTAGAACTCATAGTCTTATGTTTTTGACCATACGATGGACTCGTTTTAAGAGCACGAGTAGTGTCAGTTGGTTTATATCTGAAGCACAGCACATGCTCCTGTAGTACTCACATTACAGTACAGTCACTTTTCTGCCAGTTCATTTGCATTTTCGATCCATATGTCCCTTAGAAAAAGTTGTTCACGCAGTCGTCTGTAGCACATACAGCTTTAGTATCTGTGCTATCTGTGCAGTAGAAACAGCGGTTGGTCTTCCTTTTTTTTTACTTTCATTTTTATTTTTCACCCCAGTGCCATCAACCATCCAGCCTTTGCAAAACAAGACAATAACTGAAGGTGGTAACTTGAACCAGTGTTGTAATGCATCTGGTACTCCTCCGCCAGTCGTGTCATGGATGAGAATCAGCACTGGTCAACGCTTTGATGGTAGTGTGTCACAGCTTATCAATATTAACAGGGGTGAAGCTAGAAACTACAAGTGTGAAGCCAGCAATGAGTGTGGTAATGCGTCAGAGGTACAAGACATCGACGTGCAATGTAAGTAATGGACGGAGTTCACCAAAGTCGCCCATATCCTTAGGGAGCTTAGGCAACAACGTCAGCGACGACGACAAAAACCTCACTTAAAAAGTGAACTGGTCCTGTTCCAAACATCATCGCTATCAATCCGCCTTATTCGATGTCAAAATTAAGGTCGGCAAATTTCGTTTCCTTTTTCATAAAGGACTACGTGAGTTCAGAAAAAGAAAAACTACTACGTCTTAGTCTCGCAAAAAAAAAAAATAGATAAACAAAAAAAGAAAAGAAAAGAAAGTGGGATGCACTTGCAAAGTTGTTTTGCTTATTAACCCTATATATTGCTGTTTTACCGTTCTCCTTTTTAATTTCCGTTGCCACCGCCATCGTCGTTGCTTAAGCTCCCTCTTAAGCTTTCAGTCAGTGTTAGGGTTCCTGTACGAGTATGTGTTTTGTGAGCCATTGACAACGTCCTGTCTGGAGTCTCTCTTGAATTGCCGTGCCCTAGCAGCAGATGGGAAGGAGAGAGACCCTGAATAAAAGTTTGTGAAATTGACATCACATTGACTGGTCTGTTTAGCTCCCCTTTTGCCCTAATATAAATGAAAAAAGAACACTTTACACGAGACATTGTCGAGGGAATTGAGCACTTTCATAGATTATGCATAGAAATAAATTTGACTTAGACGAAATTTGATTGCCCTACTCTTCAAAACCCATTGGGCATTAATCCAGTGGCGACTTTTTTTTCACTGTCTTATGGATTGCTGGTGGACCCTTTTTTTAGACTGTCATTTTTAGTGCACAGGACCGGCTCTCTGACTAAAGACTCACAAGATTTTATGAGCTGTTTTATAAGGGGATATTCTTTAAAAATTGGGTTAACGTTTGTTTGATATGCACCGTAGTACAGGGACTGTGATGGCAATACAATTAAGCGAACCAAGATAAAGAGTACCTGGAGAGTAGCATTAAAGTTATGGTGTGTTTGGTGGTTGTATGATTATTGTTTTCGTTTTTTGTTTTTATGTTCTACTGTTTTGGAAGGAAATCGAATTCCACATATACAAGTGAATGACGTCTTTTGGCCAACGTTTTGATTTTTCCTAGTTATAATGTCACATTAATTGTTGATTGAACTATGTCATGTTAATTTCATCATTTTTTCCTTGTAGACAAGCCAGAGAACGTCCAGCTAACAACAAACGCCAGTGCAAACAAAGCATGCCAGAATGACGTCTTGAAACTTACTTGTTCAGTCGGTGATGCTAATCCAGAAGTGACTTCATATCAGTTGTTTCGAAATGACACTGATCTTGGGGAAAGCAACACAGGAATGTGGGTTCAAACACTGTCAAACAGCGGACTATCGATGTGCAAATGTGTGGCAAACAACTCTGTGGGAAGCGCAGAAAGCCCGAGTGTTTCCATCACCGTTAATGGTAATCATGAATTTCGTTTCTATGTCCGCCTCTTTTCACCCTTCCGGCGGAGCCTTTCTATTGCTAGTTTGATGTTGGCGCACTCGAGAAAGACTCTGCTTGCATCAGTTAAAATCTTTGTTGAGCATGCATTAAATGCTGCTTGGATAAAGTTTCGATTACAGGCCTAATACCTGTGCGCTTGGTACAGCAGGCTCAGTTATTAGATTATCGGTTTATCAGTAAGCGGATGCTCACACTCGAAAAAGCCACAAAATAAGATTGACTTGTGCAGAAGTTCGGGATGCGGCGACTTCAAAGGCCAGACGCGATTCAGACAGAGCCTCCTTAAAATCTCATCCATAATTAAGAAATAAAAATCACGCTCAGGCGGTGCTCGCAGGGTGACCTGTTTTATTTAGTTGTTCAAATTATTAATAAACTTTTTTGGTTAATGATAAGGAATTTTGGAGAGTATTCGCTTCCTCTTGCGGTGTTCCCTTTTCGTATGTACCTCCTTGACTGTGTTTCTTGTATGATGTTTAAACGGCAATTTGTACCTATTCAGCCCCTAGGTTTTCATTAGTGACAATGCTATCCATTGAATAAACGGAACTGAAATAGAGCTGGCTGCTATTCATCACGTTTAGCTGAAACCGTTTTAATCTTTTGCATGGGCTTTGCCCTCAGTCCGTATTTGTCTTTTCCGCAATTTATCTTGCGTTTTCTGCAATTTTAGGCACCTCTTTAGTCAAATCTTTGAAGGTTTCTTGGTAATTGCTTGAAAGTAGACCTACACCTTCAATTTTCCTCTTACGTTTCCATTATTTTATTGCAGTGCCACCGACTATCGCACCAATACTAGATAAGACAGTTAACGAGACTGACAACTTAACTTTGCCCTGCGTGTCAACTGGTGTCCTTTCACCCTTTGTTTCCTGGGTGAAGGTTAGCAGTGGACAGCGCACAAATGGAAGTTTGCTACAGCTGACTAATGTTAGTAGGAGTCAAGCTGGGGAATACAGATGTGAGGCCAGCAACGAATGTGGCAATGCTGTGGAGAGGGTGAACATCACCGTACCATGTAAGTTGCAAAGGTGTCGCTCATGCCATGGTATTTTGAGCAATCGCGAGAATTTCTGTATTTTAAGAAGAGCGTGAAATGTTGTCAAGAACTCATAAATTCCTTTGGCTTGAGAAAACAACCGCCACACTGATGATGCGTCACTACCCAGATCTGGGCAGTTCTTCTGATTGGATGAAGCAAATTATCAACCAATCAGGGGCACTTCCCAGATCTAGGTAGTGCTGCGTCATGGAATTTCTGCGCTACTTCCTCAGACCTCATTTTGCGGGGAATCCAGTGGTGGCTTCGCGAAATGTCTGCTCTTTTCTCAGGCTAAAATACCTGTTGTTAAAATTTCTTCAACATCATAATGATGCAGGATCAGGGTAAAGTAGTACACAGTTCTATCCCTGCTCCTTTAGTTTTTAGTGTTTGCCTGTTAGACTTCCATCAAAACATTCGGACGATTTAGACGGTTATATGGATACTATCCTACATGTATACAGAGACTTACGATCACCCGCATCGCGCGAGGTGTTTCCATGTGATCATCTCGATCGCCTGATTACCGGCCTATATACAGACTTCTGCATTTCAACCCAGTGTACTGAGATCTCCCCAATCGTACGGATCGTCCTGTATGGCATCAGAAATGTTTCTATATGATCATCTCAATCGCCTGAATGCCGGCCTGTATACAGGTTGCGATCAACCCAATGGTACGGATCGTCTTGTAACGCATGAGAGGTGTTCCATATGATTGTCTCGCCTGCTGAAACATTGTAAAATACCCTTCCTAGATAATTCTTCCCGACTGTCGGAAGATTGAAGGGCCACTTCTCGCTGGGTAATTTGAAGACGAACCGGGTGATCGATACGAGCCAGACGATTATATAGAAGAGAGGGGAAACAAGGGATAAGACCTCGGAAATCTACTTTGTAGTGCGCACTTTAGACAAATATACGTTCATCTAACTCTAAAGTGACCTTGACGTTATTCTTCCTATATCCCCAAACTTATGGCATGATTACAGGGTGTTGACAGTAATTTTCGTTGCACCTGAAAATGCATATTAAATTATTATTTCTAGTCAAACCTTAGAATGTACGTTTGGTAGCGACCAACATTGGGGATGAAGCCTGCCAGAACGATTCTGTGCCCCAGAGGTGCTCAGCTGATGCTAGTCCACCAGTCTGGTCTTATCAGTTTTTTGAAAATGATGTTCTTTTGGGAAGTAACACTATATTTTGTACACAGATACCCCTTGAACCGGCACGGAAACTATATCGGATAGGGGTTCTATTCACAGGCGAGAACGTAAGAAGCTGTGCCGCGCTGATCTTGAAAGTGTATCGTCACAGATATATCGGAAGGGTTTCTGTGCCACTGTTCAGCACAGTTTGAACAGGCTTTCATACAATACCAGATCGCTTTTCATTTCGACAAGAAAGACTTTCGTGTGTATTGTAGATGTACATGTACCGTTAGCCTGGTTAGCTCAGTTGGAAGAACGCCAGTCTGCTGAGCGGGAGGCCACAGGTTCGAACCCCGGCCGCACGAACACTCAGGGTCTTTAAATAACCGAGAAGAAGGTGCTGCCTTTGGAATGACATCTGCGAACGGTTAGACTTTCTAGTTTTCTCTGACGAGGACGAAAAAACGTAGGTCCCGTCTCACAGCACTTAGACTTATCTGGTTCTTGAAGGACGTAAAAGAACCCACACCATTGTTCGAAAAGAGTAGGGGACGTAGACCCCGGTGGTGTGGCCAACCTTCACACATCACTGTGTTCACACATCATTCACATCATGGGCTGGGTGGGTACAGTAAGCTCATAAATGGGCTGAGAGCGGCTGCCAGTGGCGCCTTTGTATGCTGACGTCCGAGCTCACTGTTCACATGTTAATATATATTGTAAAGACGGCACGTCTGTTGTCCTCTCATCCATGACTTCGTCGTTCCTTCCAAAGTTAGCTATACTGCGCTCTTATGTCGTGAAGCTGGTGTTATATGTAACGTGCAGTTCGTGCAAAGAAAACCAATTAAGAAGAAAACAGCAGTAAAAAGAATATAACGGTAATCTTTCAACATTTATTTTGGGATTCCATGTAATTTTTGCTTGATTGCAGTACCGTCATCCATCCAATCGATACAAAATGAGACTTTTATTGAAGGTTCAAGCTGGAATCTGACCTGTGACGCGTCTGGAATCCCTTCAACCATCGTTGCTTGGATCGAAGAGGGCAGTGGTCAACGCACACCAGGAAATGTTTTGAGGTTGATAGATATTTACAGAAATCAACGTGGAGAGTACAGATGTGAAGCACGCAATAGGTGTGGCAATAAGTCAGTGACTACATTCGTCGATGTGCTTTGTAAGTGACTGTTGAAGACCTGGCCATGAACTTAGATCATGGAGATCAAATGGATATGATCATATTAGATTTCAGTAACGCTTTTGATAAAGTACCCCATCAACGCATCATTAACAAATTGAAGTTTTATGGCATTAAGGGAAGTACCCTTACTTGGCTTAAAGCTTGGCTCACTAGTAGATCACACACTGTCATATTAGATGGCATGTGTTCGAAATCTGTAGATGTGACTTCAGGGGTACTTCAAGGCACAGTACTAGGTCCATTAATGTTTTTGTTATTCATTAATGATATGCAAGATGATTTAGTATGTACTCTAAGATTGTTTGCTGATGGTGCTTTATTGTATCATAAAATCACTTATAATGATGACACCTTGGCTTTACAGGGTGACCTAGACAAACTAGGCCTATGGGCTGATAGATGGCAGATGCTGTTCAATCCCTCCAAATCCTACAAAATGTCTGTTTTCCGTAGTAGATCCCCAGTAGTTAAAGACTACACCCTTTACAACCAAACACTGGTAGCTGTTGAGCAACACCCTTATTTAGGTGTTTTGCTGTCCAGCGATCTGCGGTGGAACTCTCATGTGGACAAGATTGCTAAAAAGGGGAGCTCTTCACTTGCATTTGTGGGAAGGAACTTGTATGCCTGCTCTGAAGAAACCAAACGAGCAGCTTATGTATCACTTGTCAGACCATATCTAGAGTATGCGACTGCAGTATGGGATCCTTATAGACTGAATCAAGTGGAGAAACTAGAAGCTATCCAAAGTCTTGCAGTGAGATTTGTTAAACATGATTATAGTTATAACACCAGCGTGTCCAAATTGAAGAAATCCCTATCTTTGGGTTTACTAAGCGAGAGAAGAAAATCCCACCGTCTACAAATTTCCATAAATCTGTGTACAATGATATTGCTTTGCCTATTCCGCCTTATTATGAATTGTCTATTAGGGAAACTAGAAATTCATTGATTCAACCATCTGTACATCATGATTACTATAAGTATAGTTTCTTTCCGAGAACTATAAGGGACTGGAATTGTTTATTACCTGAAACCAGATCACTTAATTATCCAGCATTTTGCAGTGCAAAATTATTTTAAGTTTTATTTTTAAGTATAGCTATATTCTTAATTACATGTTTTATTTATTTATTTATTTATTATTTTTTGTTTAGCTATGTTTATATTTTTTATTCTTTTAACTGTTCTTGATGTGTAATAGCGTTGAAGAGTATTAAAGTAGATGTAGATGTAGAAGTGAAGGGAATAATAATCATAAGAATATGTACAGTGAAACCTGCATTAAGCTTACTTCGTCTTAATAAAATCCTTTCCAGTATCTCTTGCGTCGCTGAATTTAGCGATATCTATCTGTAATTTTCATGTTTGCAGAAAGATAGAACAGGGCAGAGTATCATTCGTATGTGATATACAACAGACCTGGGGTGATCAGACGGCTTGATTGTCCAATGTGAAATTATATCAAAGTTGCATTTCAGCTCACTTTCCAAACAATTCCTGTATGTCTATTTTTTTTCCTATATAAGGATTTTGACTTTATCTTCTGTTTGTAAATCATTGTAAGGCGCATTGAGCTTTGTAAATGCGCCATAGAAGAATGTATTTATTATGACTTTTATTGTTATTATTATTAATATATAGATTTAGCCAGGGCTAAAAGCGAAGCTCCCATTAATAAATTTATAATTTAAATCAAACAATAAACTTGTAATCCACAAATCAGTTAACTTANATCTGTACATCATGATTACTATAAGTATAGTTTCTTTCCGAGAACTATAAGGGACTGGAATTGTTTATTACCTGAAACCAGATCACTTAATTATCCAGCATTTTGCAGTGCAAAATTATTTTAAGTTTTATTTTTAAGTATAGCTATATTCTTAATTACATGTTTTATTTATTTATTTATTTATTATTTTTTGTTTAGCTATGTTTATATTTTTTATTCTTTTAACTGTTCTTGATGTGTAATAGCGTTGAAGAGTATTAAAGTAGATGTAGATGTAGAAGTGAAGGGAATAATAATCATAAGAATATGTACAGTGAAACCTGCATTAAGCTTACTTCGTCTTAATAAAATCCTTTCCAGTATCTCTTGCGTCGCTGAATTTAGCGATATCTATCTGTAATTTTCATGTTTGCAGAAAGATAGAACAGGGCAGAGTATCATTCGTATGTGATATACAACAGACCTGGGGTGATCAGACGGCTTGATTGTCCAATGTGAAATTATATCAAAGTTGCATTTCAGCTCACTTTCCAAACAATTCCTGTATGTCTATTTTTTTTCCTATATAAGGATTTTGACTTTATCTTCTGTTTGTAAATCATTGTAAGGCGCATTGAGCTTTGTAAATGCGCCATAGAAGAATGTATTTATTATGACTTTTATTGTTATTATTATTAATATATAGATTTAGCCAGGGCTAAAAGCGAAGCTCCCATTAATAAATTTATAATTTAAATCAAACAATAAACTTGTAATCCACAAATCAGTTAACTTAAGGGCACATATGTGACTTTTTAGGGAAAGCTAAGGATAAGTGATTTTAGAGTGAAAAAAAATCTTACATCGAATTGATAGCCGTATATATACACCAAAAAATAGCAATCATCTTTGATCACATTTAAGAGCCATAATAGCTCTTGATCACAGTAGATTAGGCCTGGAAAAAGAATTCTTGGAAAACAAATCAGGCCGAATTTTTTGCGTTCGACAAGTTTACTTAACAAAATCTTGCCAACAACTCTGGGTGCGTGTAAAACAACATTTCATACTTTTTATACATCACATATGAGGTGAAACAGTGATATGAGACTCTGTTTTTATCATACAGACCTCAAACAAAATGCAGTATTTCACAATTTTTCAAGACAAATTGCACTCATTCATTATTCAGAACCGTGCGAAGCACGCGCCTGCTTTTAGCAAAAAAAGCCAAATTTTCAGTGAACATTAACGGTGAACATTAGTCCATGCGGACTACTTTCCACTACCCGGAAAGTCCGCACGGACGGACGTAGCTGACGTCATAACCAAAATTTCTCGGATGGATAGTTTACCAAATTATCTTAGTTATGGTGCTCCGCTCGCGCGCGCAAGGAGCTCCGCTATTAATGATATGTTTACTTCCTGCCAAGTTTAAAAGGGAGGACGAGGAGGTGTGAATTTCCTCTTGCGTCTCGTACTCGTTTGCTCTTGCCAGGTCTGTCAAGCCTCGACTCGACTGACTTGAAAGGCACTGCTTGCAGTCTAATGAAAACCAACCTTGACTGTAACTAATAAAGACCTTTAGATTCTAGGACGAGAACGATTACAAGTACGAGATTTGACTTAAAGTTTTTTCGCGTATTCTCAAATTATAGACACCCCGAAAAGCTTCATTGCACCTCTTTTTCGCCAAAGAATTAGCACTGTTATCTTTACTGAAGGAGCTTAAGCCACATCCCGGCTGCAAAATGATAAAGCCTCTAACAGTCTATAACTTGTTTCCGTTACCACGACATTCTGGCTAAAACTCTTAGCAGGATGACGACGGCAATCATGTTTCCCGCCAAAATGACGCTGGTTCACGCGCAAGCCCTACTTGGTATTGTGAAAATCTCGTACTCGTAGTCGTACTCGTCTTAGAATCCAAAGCTCTCTAATATTCTATTATTGTCTTTTTTTACCTAGACCCTCCAGTCGTAACACACATTTCTAACAACCAGATACTGAATGAAGGCTCCAGTGTGACTCTGAACTGCTCAGCAGATGGTAATCCACCTCCAGTAATCAGCTGGACAATGGTCTCTGATAACAGTGCTGTCATTTTTCCTCTGACCGATATTGGACAATTGGATGAAGGAACCTACAGATGCACTGCTTATAATGGTGTTGGAAGTGTTGTTACAAGAGATGTGTCCGTATTTGTACATTGTGAGTCCTCGTTGCTCTTCTTTGACAGTAATACGTGTTTATAAATTTTATACATTACGGAAGTGGGCTCGTTTACAGAAGACTAGAAGGGTTTTGTCTGCATTACGGGAGGAAAACAATTTTGCCTTACCTTACATGTACACTTACATGTGTATTTGGGTAGCGTTAGCAAAATTCCATTAGGGATCTTACTGTATAGCTAATAAACTTCACACTTTTAGTTGAATTTGTACTTTGTTTTTGAACGTATCTGTTCAGTCGGCGTCTTGCCGTACAGGTCAGTTCAAAGTGGCTGCAACACTTGGCTCTGTATTTTTCTCTTTAAGTTGCCGTCCGATCGAATTGCTTTTACCTTATATTCTACGGAAATTATGGGGAAGCGGGGTCAGTGTACACGAAAATAGATAAGAGTTAAGAGTTCATTGTAAGGGAAACCTCAACTCTTACCTTACAGTTATTTTCGGTTATCAAGTTTTAGTTCCCCCATCGATCGAGCCTTTGGAGGAAAGAAAAGTTGTCATTAGAGGGGAATGTCTTACTTTATCTTGCAATGTCTCTGGGAAGCCAGCACCAGTTGTCTTTCGGACGCACGTTGAAAGTAACGACAAGTTAAGCAATGGCAAATGGGAAATAAAGTTTGCTACAGAAAGGGATGTTGGAAGATATCGGTGTAATGCAACTAATATCTACGGACATGCCAGTGACACCATCGAGATCTTATTGTTACGTAAGTGCCTGATTGTAAAGTCACGTAACTGTACGTAACAACTTTCTTATGGAAGAGGTTTGTTATTACTTACGATCCTTTGGAATTTCCTAATGATGGTTATGATAATTATTATGGTAGCCGTTTAAACTTGATGGTAGTAGGTCTTTCCGAGAGGGATTCGTCCTTTGACAGATCTGGAGGCCCCACTATCAATGCTTTAAGCTTAAGGTAAATAACTGGCCTACAAAGGATTTGTTTCATTCAGCAAATGTATTCTTCGTAACTTTACCATTTTCCCATCAATCGTGTAACTCCAACATACTACATAAAACCCACACACGGCCCGCAATCACCTGATTCGCACTTATATGCTAGGGTTAACGCTCGAAACAAACGCCATCTTTTCAATTTTTCTACACTCTGGAAGAAAAAAATAAATAAGAATTAAATAATAAACGAAAATTTTGCCTTTCATTCGCTTACCGTTAGCATACCACGGTTTCGGAAGAATAAAATTTCTTTTTTATCTAGTTTTACGTTAGCTGCTGACGTTAATTCTTTTGAGAACCATCTTGCAAAATCTTTAAAAAATTATACGTTATATACTTCTTTTTAGACGTTTTCAGAGCATTTTCTCTGTATAACTTTATTTGCCATGTTTTTAAAGTGATTTCATATTTGGATGTTATAAAAAAGATCAAAATAAATTGATATGTTTTTTTTTAAGAGACTGCCACACCTTTTTCAACAACAGTTTCATCTAATACTGGAATGCTTAACAAAGATGCAATATATGGACCGGTCATTGGAATAATGGGATTGATCGTTATTTCAGCTTTAATATACTTGGTAATGAAGTACCAGAGACGTAAGTAACATGAATCCTTTTCATTTCTCATTTGATTTGGAATGCAAAACAAGTTTTCGAATGCATTTTAGACATCAAACTCAATACATTAGGTAACCCAATCATCTTTGTTTCCTTCGAGTGTCACAAATCTTCCCAACTCGACATGGACTTCTTCAAGCCCTTCCTACTTGGCTCTACGTTTCCTTTATCATTTTCGTTCAGTATGTGACAACACCCCTCCCAAACATTTGCCTAGGTTAAGTATTAAACCCAACCCTCCAATAGTTTGGTTACTAGTGGCTTCCACGTGGCAATGAAAAATTTGTAAACATCTATTTTTTTTCGTTCTTGAAATTAGGTCATCGAGCTGATAGGTAAGTTACAAACACCACCTAATGTCTATATGGCTTTTTTTACTTAGTTTAGTTTAAGTTTAGTTTAAGTTTAATAATTCTTTTTACCAATGTACAAAATAAAAATATATATACATATATAAAAATACAATAGGTAAAGGAAAGCAATAGGGGGAAACTGAATTCCCATATAAAAACTGCCCTCCAAAACGAAAAGATAAAACAATTAAGAATAGAAAACTAATACATAACTATACATCACGTGATACTAAGAGCAAAAAAAAACTAAATAAACTACTTAGATATTAAATAAAAAAGAAAATCCAAATTCAGTAAGAAATAATAAACATATGACTATTTACAAAGATAATTAAGTAATAACGTTTTAAAAGAGTTCAAGCTGGAAGCAGACATAACGGAATTTGGTAAAGAGTTCCAGTCATTAACGTAACGATTAAAAAATGAAAATTTAAAATAGCTTGTCCTTGCTGCTCTAGGCCTGATTTTAAAGTCATGGTTTCTTCTAGTTCTTGTCGGGCCAGTCAGATCCACATATGTGGTATAATCAATATCAGAATAGCCATGAATTATCTTGTAAAGTTGAACCAGGCAAAGGTATTTTCTTCTAAGCTCCAATGTTGACCAGTTTAGTTCAGTGAGCCTTTCAGTAGTAAGAATTATGAGATCCACATATCAATCGAGTAGCACGACGCTGAATGGATTCAATACTGTGTATGTGTTTAACCAAATATGGATTCCACACTGGGCAGGCATATTCCAGAATAGGACGAACTAAAGCGATAAAAGCTGTTTTATGAGCAATTATTGTCTTTGATGTGTTTTTTTTTTTTTTCGGTTTCCTGAAGTCGTGCGTATGGTTTATGCGGCTTAAGTTTATACACGAGCAATGATCTAATCTACAATAGTATCAGGTTTAAAAAGCCTTTAGACATTTTTTGACCGCAAATTCAAAGAAAAGGTTCCGAAGAATATTTAGTTATGATTTTGGCTGTAAACAGAAAGCTCTGAGCGATTTTCTTGCCTCGAGTTCATCTTGAAAAAGAGCAAACACCGGGAAACAGGCTTAAAACATAAACTATAAGCTTATGCTTACCTGACTGATGATTTTCAGAGACGCTTTACTCTCAATACTTATCTTTGTAAATGAAAATTATTGTCTCTGTACATGTTTCACCGAATTATATTTATTTTATTGATTGTTAGTAGTCCCTCTCGCAATTTTTATCGCTGCACCAGTTGTTTTGAGTCGAACATAAACATCGCATGCAGGAATATTCAAAACGCCGTGCGTAAATTATCAATCGCTCTTAAAGATTACACATAACAAAACCATAAACAGTTTTAGAAATTAAGGCAAAATTAAATAAAACCTAAACATAGCAAATTCTATTTCATGTTGAAGCGTAAATGGTAACTCTTTTCATCGCACTGTAAATTTGGTGCCTGTCAAAAGTGAGAACCCGTCCGGCTGGCCGAAAAGGTGATTTGGGGAATTTTTTTAGCGGGGCTCCCGCGCGCGCGAAGCGCGCGTGGGACAGAGCCCCATACTCATGGAATATGGTCAACCTCTTTTCGTTTGGTTGTCACGTGATTGACCGAGCGTACGTACGTACGTACGTACATACGTACGTACGCGTCTACAGATTGTACGGGTGGGGTAGGGGAGACTATCAAAAGGAAGGGAGGGGTGTCTCAGGCGTGTCTTAGCAAGTCCACATCTTAAATATAGGATTTTAGGACATTCACACTATGGTCAATTGACAGCTGTCAAAACAGGATAGCCACTGACCAGTATCCCATGACCATATCGCGGGCTCATGTGTCAACTCATCGAGGTGACGTGATTTATTTGGAAGCTGTCCGCTGACCAGTTAATTGTTTTACTAGATCGCGAACAATGTTCAATCTCATACTTTTACTAGTTAAACTGATAATGCACACATATTGGACATTAATGTTTTGATCAATTGACAGCTGTCAAAACAGGGTACCCGCTGACCAGTATCACTTGACCGTATCGCGGGCTCAGGTGTCGACCCATCGAGGTCAAGTATTTTTTTGAAGTTATCCGCTGACAAGTTACTAGTTTTCAAGTGATCGCAGGCTCAAGTTCAAGTTTTTTCTAAATTCATATGAAATATGTTGTGTTTATGTGCTACACAATTAAAATTTTGATTGCAAACTGACCTCGGACGCGAAAATTCAGCCAGCTGTTACAGGCAGGGAAGACAGTTGCTTTTGACTTTTCTCACCATGGTCACGCGTTGGTCACGCTCTACGTCCAATTTTTATGCTCTGATTGGTCAAAATTTGACAGGTGAGTTCATGCGGAAAATTTATGCAGCATCTTGAATCTTGTTTACTTTGACAGCTGAAGCTGACAGAGTTTTGTGTCAACTTGTGATGTTTTTAACTGTCTTTTTCCACTGGATGTGCAAAATGAAATTCAGCTGCTATCAGGAGTCCTCTGTTATTCATGGCTAGTTTGTTTATTGGGTTTTTGGTTGAGGAATACGTCGCTTGTCAAAGTCGGAAATCCGATTTCGGATGGCATCGTTTTCGTTTTCACCTTGCTTGATGCGTAAGAGGATTGCAAAGTCTGAAGCGATACTGGCTTTTCTTGATACCTTTCAGGAGCTGCATCTCGAATGGTAAGCCAGAGAAATTATTGTATTTGATGTTTGTTTTTTTGGATCTAATTTAATGAAGTCGAGCGGAGTTTATGCGGTCATTTAGTTTATGCACGTTTGTAAGATTTGAGACAATGATCTGACCGAGTATCAGGTTTGATATAAGCTTACAGAACTTTAAAAAGCCTTTAGACAGTTTCTCACCGCAAATAGAAAGAAAACGTTCCAAAGAATATTTAGTTATAATTCTGGCCGGAAAAGAAAGCTTTGAGCGATTTTCTTGCCTCGAGTTCGTCTTTGAAAAAAGCAAACACCGGGAAGCCGGCTTAAAACATAAACTTAAGCTTGAAGCTTGAAGACTCAGGATTTTTAGGGATACTTTAATACTTGTCTTCCTGAATGAAAATTGTTGTTTCTGTATATGTTTCACCGAATTATATTT